CTCCCCAGCCAGCTTCCCTCTACCACCGCAGGGCACCTCACTCCCTTCCCCCAAAACCCCCGCCCACATGTCCCGAGTCTACCTTCAGATCAGACACGTCTCGGTAGCACTGCTCGGAGCGGGTGTGGTCCGACAGCTGCACATTCCAGAAGCAGGGGAGCTGATACACGAGGAAGGGGTTCTGTTTGATGACGGCATTGAAAATGTCCTGGGGATAAAAGCCGGAGACAGAATGACACGGTCAGGTGGGTCCCGCGGACGCTGCTGGCTCTCCAGGCACCATGGCACCTGCAGGCGCTCCAAACGGGCTGGCTCACACGGCGGGGCACTGCCCTGCCTTCTCTCTCTGGGAACCACACAATCACACCTGGGCAGAGATGGGGGATGCCCCAGCTCACGCCTGGACAGAGATGGGGGATGCCCCAGCCCACAGGTCCTGCTGGCCTCAGAGCGCACCATATGGCAGGCGCACGTCGGGGCGGGCGGGGAGCGTTTCTGCCATGGAGTCGGCCTCTAATAAATGAAGTCGCTTTTCCGCCCCTCTTCCCGCCTCATCGAGGGGCCCATGTGATCCATCCCCCGCCGCCCGGAGAGGAACCTGCAGGATGACAGTTGCGCTGCGCATTCAGGGCCTGAGACAAACGAGAGCTGCGGTGGCGGCAGCTCTTGCTGGAGCTCTTGGTGGACTGGATGATGGATGTGCCTGGGCTTCCCCACGGGCCATGGCTCCTGGGTGCCCACTCCCCACTTCCCCTTCCAGCCTGGGCTTCTTCTAAAGACGCTTCACCTCTCTCGGCTCTTCTCCAAGCTCACTGGCCGGGCCATACTTATTAACTCGCTGCTGACAGGAGATGCCGGGAGGTGAGCGCCAGCCCCGCGGCCGGTGATGGCTGAATAAACCATCCCCGCTGGTCACGGACATCCGATTGCCAGCTCTGGGGGACACACGCAAGGTACGGTGACCTGGCTTAAAATACGTGGCTGGAGAACAGATTTCCCCGCAGGTTTAAATCAGCTACCTGGATAATTTTTAACTCATTCATTCTACTGGATCTCATGTTTGAAAAGGAAATTGGTTTCTGGCTGCTTGGGAAATACTGCATAATAATCAAGCCCCCCAAAAAAAGAAAAAAAGAAAAAGAAAAAAGTCAAGTAACCTTACAGACTTTCTCCTTTCCTCCATATTAGAAAACTTTGCAAGCATTCAACGACTCAGACAATTGAACACAGAACAAACCGCAGAGTGAGCTTGCTTTGTGGATGAATGGGGAAGGATAAAATGCAGGAAGCCAGAGAAATTGTCTTCACATCTCAAGACGGCCATTAGCGCCACGGGAAACTCGAAATCTAAATGTGAGAGCCGGGCAGAGCCCAGATCAAAGGCCCGGGGCCCTGCATCTTCCAGAGAAAATGAGAAATGGGGTTTTTATGATCTTATATGCATAGTTTGGGGGAGAGGCGGGACTTTTTCAGACGGCCTGGATTAAAAGCTGGTTTCTCCAGCCAAGCAGTGTGTCCGTTTTCTTTACATGCATTTCTCTGGGGGATAGGGTCATAGCACTGGATCCAGGCAAAAAGGCTTCGCTCTGCAAGTCGGACTCTGCTGCCAGGAAGGCAGATGGGACCTTGTCCAGAACCGCGCTGTGCGCTCTGGAATCTCAGGGGGCAGGCCGGGCGCTCTGCACGCAGTGACCTCCCCGTCACACACCAAATTATCATTTACTTATGAGTCCGCTTCAATAAACGTGGAGCTCTCCAAGGCCTTGGTCCTTCTTTCATCTCTGTAATCCTGTAGCTGAGCACTGTCCCTGGCATACCCAGCCCGCAGTGCAGGTCTGCGGCATGAACAAATGCATGAACAAAGGAAATAAACCCACGGGCTGAGCTGTCGTCCTAGACGGGCCGGAGAAGGCAGATCTATCCAAGGGTACACAGTCACACCGTCGGCAGAAAGAGAACGCAGACCCATCTACTTCCAAGTCTGCTTGAGATACAGCACCAGGGTCCTCAGGGGCGACCGTACCTTCTAACCAGGCCACTCACCTGGTCCGCTAAGGATGTGGACAGCATGCCCATCAGCTCCCTCTCGGCGGTCAGCCTCCACATCTGCTCCCATTTCATCTTCCGCAGCTTGTCCAGGAGCAGGAGGATCACCCCTGGGCAACAGCATAGGATGGAAGGTGAGCAAAACAGCAGTGAGACTGAGAGCCAGGCACACCCGCCCACCTGTGTTGGAGCTGAACACACCTGGGTTCAATCCCAGGCTCCGCCAGTTGCTCAGTGAGACCGGAAGCAATCTCATGGAATGGAGAACACAAATACAGGCCTCAGGCTGCTGCGAGCACTGAGACAGGCAAAGGCCTAGCCCCATGGTTGGCAAACTGCGGCTCGTGAGCCACATGCAGCTCTTTGGCCCCTTGAGTGTGGCTCTTCCTAAGCCTTAGGAGTACCCTAATTAAGTTAATAACAATGTACCTACCTATATAGTTTAAGTTTAAAAAATTTGGCTCTCAAAAGAAATTCCAATTGTGATACTATTGATATTTGGCTCTGTTGACTAATGAGTTTGCTGACCACTGGCCTAGCCCTTCCTGGAGGTGGGTGTACTTAACAATGTGAATACACTTAATGCTGCTGAACTATATGCTTTGAAATATGGTGAAATTGGCCCATTGATGCTATGCATAGTTTACCACAATAATTTTATTTTATTTATTTTTTAAAAAGATATATTTTATTGATTCTTTACAGAGAGGAAGGGAGAGGGATAGAGAGTTAGAAACATCGATGAGAGAGAAATACCTATCAGCTGCCTCCTGCACACTCCCTGCTGGGGATGTGCCCACAACCTAGGTACATGCCCTTGACCAGAATCAAACCTGGGACCCTTGAGTCTGCAGGCTGACGCTCTATCCACTGAGCCAAACCAGTTAGGGCTACCCCAATAATTTTAAAAGAGCCCAGCAATCGTCATATACTTCCAATAAATACTAGGTTTCTGCCATGTTTCCCCCCAGAGCTATGATAACCTACCTCGCTTCAGTTGATGGATGGTGTTTGGACAATATGTGCCATTTATCTTTACAGACAAAGAGCAGCTCCTCTGTGACTTTATTCTGTCACACAGTCAGCAGAAAGAGAACGCAGACCCATCTACTTCCAAGTCTGCTTGAGAAACAGCAGGATTGCTGAGGATAAGCCTCAGCAATTTAGTTTATGTTTAGAGACGGGCCCTATGAGTGCTCCTGATTTCACTGGTCTCCTTAAGCCCGCCTCGATCCCCACATATGTGAACTACGGTGAAGGGCGTGGTGGCGCTGGGTCTTTAAGACGAACTCCCAAAGCCTTTGGTTCCATAAGAAACTGATCATCGGAGGTGGCTTCCTCCTCCTCCCCACCTTCCTGTGTTTTACTGTTGCTGTTGTTAATTTTTGTGGGAGTGACCGGGGTAAATGGGTGATAGTGTAGCCAGGAAAATTGCCATTATATATACCCTTTTGTATTTTTTAAATGTTAAAACAACTAACTGTATTACGCAGGCAAAAAAGGAATGAATTAACCTTAAAATAAAAGTCTAAACAAATACGTTTTGGCCTAGCTGAGTGGCTCAGAAGCGGCCGTCTACCACCAGGTCAGTGAGGGCCTGCAGCGAGAATGCAGCACAGCACTCGGAGCTGAGAGTTTCCCAGGAGGCACTGCGGTTAATTTGGCGGATGGAACTGTAGCACCCATGGGCTCCCAAGTCAGTCCTCCTCCGGATGCTTAGCTCAGCAGAAGGGTCAGGGGGGAAAATGCCAGGTAGCTGAAAAACGATCTTCGTGGAGACCCAGTATATACATTTCTGAGACTGCTGGAAAGAAACTAATTCTCCGTATCACACATAAATGTCAACACTGAGACTTTTTACTTATTCCAGGGGCACGTATTTGGAGAAAAAGTATATTCACCATTTAGTTAAAGGTAATTTGCTCAGAGTCGAAATTTAAAAATAAATTACACACACAGACAGACAGACACACAAAGTCACGGAAAGAATGGGATATATGCAGAAGCCTGAACTTAGAAGTCAGAAGTGCAAATTACACCTAGTGCTTATCTCCTTTGTGCTTTATTAGGGTTTTTTTTTTAATGATATTATTTCACTTAACGCTCACAAGATTGCTACAAGCTAGATCTTGTCATCCTTATGCGACAGGTGGGGAAACTGAGGGGCTGAGACAGGCACTTGTACAACTGACAGTACAAGACTATACCAGATCCAAACTCAGATCTGACTGACTCCAAACCAGGGCTTCTTCGTCTACACCACACAGACCAGAGCCCCAACAATGCCTCTTTGGGGCCCTGGGTCTCAGGCCAAAGACTTTTTCCTTTTCTGACTATTGGTTTCTGCTGGAAGCCGGTCCACCCTTGCTGCTTGACACAGTCGCTGCAGGGAAGAAACATCTGCACAGCATATGTTTCAAGGGACCTGGCGTATATGGCCTACTGTTCTTAATATGTTTGCTCCCCTCCTTAGCACTATGTGTTTTAACCAAGGTCACCTCTCCGAGAAAGGTTGTTTCCCCAGGTGGGGATTTTTCCCTGGAGTTAGGG